AGTTGAGGAAATGCAAGGGAAGAAAGACCCTGAAGGGAGTTGTGTACAGACCTCCTACCAGTAGTTAGGATTTGGGGAGGAAAACAAATCAGGAGATAGAAAAGGCATGTAAGAAAGGCACTAGTACAATAATCATGGGGGATTTTAATACAAAGGTGGACTGGGGAAATCAGGTTGGCAGCAGATCCCAGGAAAAGGAATTCGTGGGATGTCTACAAGTTTTTTTTGGAGTAGCTTGTAGTAGAGTCTGCTAGGGGACAGGCAATTCTGGATTTAGTGATGTGTAATGAGGCAGACTTGATTAGGGAACTGAAGGTGAAGGAACCCCTCAGGGGCAGTGACCTTCATATGCACTTTGAGAGGGGGAAGATTGAATCAGATGTAATGATATGAAAATTGAATAAAGGTAATGACAAAGACATTAGGAAGAACTGGCCAGAGTTGATTGGAAGGGGAGCCTAACAGTGAAGATGATGCAGCAGCAATGGCAGCAGCTCCTGGGTTAATTTGGGAGGCACGGCAGAAATTCATCCTAAGGAACGTACTAAGTGGAGAATGGGGCAACCATGGCTGACAATGGAAGTCAAGGATATCATAAAAGCAAAAGAGAAAGCACATATTGTGATGAAGGTTACTGGGAAGCCTAAAGATTGAGAAGCGTTTAAAAACCAGCAGAGGATAACAAAAAAAGAAGCAATAAGTGGGGTGAAGATGAAATATGAGAGTGAGCTAACTAGTAATATAAAACAACATTCCAACAGCTTTTTTAGATATCTAAAATGTAAGAGAGAGTGAAGAGTGGATATTGGACTGCTGGAAAATGAGGCTTGAGAAGTAAAAATGGGGAACAAATAAATGGTGGAGGAACTAAGTAGGAACTTTGTTTTCACAGTGGAAGACACCAGCAGTACACCAGAACTTCAAGAGAATCAGGGGGCAGAGGTGAGTGTAGAGACCATCAGTAAGGAGAAGGTGCTGGGGAAGCTGAAAGGTCTGAAGGCTGATAAATTACCAGCACCAGAGGGACTACACCCCAGAATTGTGAAGGAGATATTGAGGTATTGGTGGTGATCTCTCAGGAATCACCAAAGTTTGAGAGGGTCCAAGAAGACTGTAAAATGATTAACATAACACCCCTTTTTCAGAAGGGAGGGAGGCAGAAGACTGGAAGCTATAGGCCAGTTAGCCTAACCTTGTCATGGGTAAGATTTTACAGTCCATTATTAAGGATGAAATTGCAGATACTTGGAAGTGCATGGTAAAATAGGGGTGAATCAGCGTGGCTTTGTTAAGGGGAGGTCAGATATGAGAGTTCTATTAGAGTTCTTTGAGGAATCAACAAGTAAGTTAGACAAAAGAGACCCAGTGGACATGATCTATTTTGAGTTCCAAAAGGCCTTTGACAAGGCTCCACACAGGAGGCTACTAAACAAGTTAAGACCCCATGGTGTTAGGGGAAAGGTACTGGCATGGATAAGGATTGACTGAGTGGCAGAAAGCAGAGAGTAGGAAAAAGGGATTTTTTTTCGGGATGACAGCTGGTGACGATTGGAGTTCCACAGGGACTTCTCTTTTGGGATCACAACTATTCACGTTATACATTAAGGTGAGAGAGAATAGATTTAAGAAGTACCTTCTTCACGCAGAGAGTGGTGAGTATATTGAACGGGCTGTCAGAGAAAGTGGTAGAGGCAGGTATAATAGCAACATTTAAAAACATTTGGATAGGTACATGGATGAGGAGGGTTTAGAGGGATATGGACCAAATGTGGGCAATTGGAACTAGCTGAGTTGGCACCATGATCAGCATGGACCAGTTTGGGCTGAAGAGCCTGTTTCTATGCTGTATTACTCTATAACTCCAGTGATCTAGATAAAGGAATTGAAGGCATTGTTGCTAAGTTTGCACATGACCCAAAGATTGGTGGTGGGGCAGGTAGTTTTGAGGAAGTAGAAAGGCTGCAGAAGGACTTGAGCATGCTAGGCGAGTGGGCAAAGAAGTGGTAGATGAATACAATGTGGGAAAGTGTGAAGTTATGCACTTAGGTAGGAAGAATAGAGGCTTAGACTATTTTCTAAAAGGATAAAGGCTTTAGTAATCTGAAGCTGAAAGGGACTTGGGAGTCCTAGTTCTGGACTCTCTTAAGGTTAATATCCGGGATCAATTGGCAGTTAGGAAGTCAAATGCAATGTTAGCATTCATTTCAAAAGGCACTAGAATATAAGAACAGAGATGTACTGTTGAAGATCTATAAAGCTCTGGTCAGATTTGGAATATGGTGAGCAGTTATGGGCCCTATATCTAAGGAAGGACATGCTGGCATTGGAGGGGGTCCAGATGAAGTTTACAAGAATGATCCCCGGGATGAAGGGCTTGTCACATGAGGAGCAATTGATGACTCTGGGCCTGTACTCGATGGAGTTTAGAAGGATGAGGGGGGTTCTGATTGAAACTTGAAGAATACTGAGAGGCCTGAATAGAGTGGATGTGGAAAAGACATTTCCATTAGTTGGAGTAACTAGGACCTGAGGGCACAGCCTCGGAGTGAAAGGATGAACTTTTAGAACAGCGATGAGGAGGAATTTCTTCAGCCAGCGGGTGGTTAATCCATGGAATTCATTGCCACAAGGAGTTGTGGAGGCCAAGTCATTGATTCACAGAGATAGATAGGTTCTTGATTGGTAAGGGGATCAAGGGTTACAGGGAGAAGGCAGAAGAATGGGATTGAGAAACATATCAACCATGATCAAATGGCAGAGCAGATTTGATGGACTAAATGGCCTAATTCTGCTCCTATATCTTATGGCCTTATGGTCTTATATTATTTACTGAAAGAATTGAAACCACTAGATTCCACGTGTTAAAACAAAATGATTCTTATTATACAAAATTTAAACAAAGCAAACACTGTATACTAAATAACTGTCTATATTCTAAAAAACAGAATCAAAATAAATTAAATGTGAATTAAACAAACTTTGTTTAATAGTAAACCAGAAATTACATATTAAATGGCAGGTATGACCAAGACAGGTCAGCAGTCCATTGAGTATATAGTTCATTAAACTCAGTCAAAAAGTCCTCCAAGTTCTCCTCAAGAATTTCACCAGAAATAGCACACAACTGCAGAACTTCCTCAACTTGGTGTGGAAGGCAACGTTATCGCCAAGTGACAGGTAACAGCAGCAATTGTGTTTTTGCTGATTCACAGCTTCTGAATCTAGCCTCTACCTCTTTCAACTTACCTCTCTGCAGTACCCGTCGAGCTGTGTTGACTCTATTTCTTTTTATATTGTTTCAACCAGAAGTTTTGGTTTCTAATTTTAGTGTCAGTCTTAGTTTCCTTAACAAATGGGAGGGCTGGTTTCTCTTTTTGTTAGGATCTTAAAAATGCAATACTAGCTTTTAAACCATAGATTCAATCAGATAAACGCAGCTGTAACATAGTCTATTGTTAATTCAGTTGTGTGGACCAGTTTCTTTAATCTCATATATTTGCCTTCTGTTTGTTTGTTCATTTGAATCCAAAATAAGCAGCCCTTTAAAGGTTAATACTTGTCACACAAACTTATTCAATTTTGTAAGAATTTAAACAGCTCTACTGATTCTTTTGGGCTGACTTACAGCAACCTTTCTCTTGAAAGTAATGTTTGAAGTCACATTTAGCTTAAGCAATGGTTTCCCTTTTCTGACTTTGATTCTGGCCTCACCCAGATGCATATCTAAGAGTTGCTTATATTACACTAAAAAGAAAATCTCATTAAAATGGTTAGGTTACTGCAACGTATGGTGGTTACATTTGTTATATGATCTCTTGGGAATATTATATAATTTAGATTTTAAGGAGGAAAGAGGACTCCATTGAAATGTCTGGCAAAACTGATGTTTAGTTTAATTTTATCTTTAATCTGTGAAGATATAAGTGCATTAAAATAATTTAGTGGCGACATTAAGTCTGGTACCAGTTTGAGGGTGATAGATTTTGTTTCTTCTTGGTGGATAAAATTTAAAGTGTCATGCACATCCTCATAATCTATTTATGTATTTGCATTTTAATTTGTTTCTTTTTCATCAAATTTTTCCTTTTTCTCTTGAGTGCACTGATTCATGCCACTACACAAAATTCTTAGGTAGCAGCCACTCTCTGTTATCCTTCTTTGTTGGACAATCTTCTTAGAATAGTCTAAACAGTGAGTAGTGACAGGCTATCAGATTTGAGGAGCTTCACAGCTATATCTGTACTTCAAGAAATCATTAAGACTTCTTCAATAGCACCTTCCAAATCATTAACCTATACTACCAGAATGACCAGGGTAGCAGATCCAACTTCACTTAGACATCTTATGTAGGATAACAATAAGTATCAGCATTTAGTTGATGACCTGGAGTATTGAGGTGAATTTTAGTGTCATTATCACCATTGCTGCTGGAGATTAGTTGTATCAACATTCTGGTAGTAAGTTCAATAATTTGGAAAGTGTTATTGAAGGAGCCTTGATGAGTTGTTGTAGTTCATCTTGTGGAAGGTTCACACTGCTCCCACTGTGTATCTGTGGTGGAGGAAGTAGATGTTGGCAGTGGTGGAATGGATTCCATTCAATTGGGATGCTTTGTCTTGGATAGTGTTGAGTGCTGTTGCTGTTGTACACATCAAGGCAAATGAAGAATATCCCATTGTGCTCCTCACTTGTGCTATCTAGATCAGGACTTCCCAAGCTGGGATTATGAGGTGAAATTTTGGGCTCCCGAACGCTGAAGCAGCAATGACCACTGTGAACATAGCAATATTCCCACTCTACCAGGCCTCTACTCACAACAGAACAACTCTCCCTCCTGGCACCCTGGTGCCACAAATTAGGTTGCAACATGCTAAAATGAAGTGCACTGCAAGCTCCAATTTAACCTTCCATTGGGAATTATATCTGTAAACTGTATTTGATCAGATCTGTTTATCAATCATGTAATTTCTAACGCAAAGCCTTTCTTTTTTGCCCTGCAGATAGAGGTGGTTGCTTATCTACTTTGTCTCTTTGGATACTATTTATTTATATAGAAGCAACAATCAGATTTAAGGATTTAAGAAATTTCAATGTAGATCTTTGCCGTCCATTTGCAGCACACTGGTAAGTCAGCATATCTAATAGGTTTTGGAATGTAAGAGACAGGCAGAACTTCAAAAACCTCATGTTAACAATTTTAATATTGTTCCTACTGATTTCATCCAACTGCATATGGTGTCTTGGTGCACAAAAGAATTGAAAAGTTATGCGTATTTTTAATCAACCCGTTCAAACATGCTATGACACACGTCTGGAGCAGTTGGGGCTTGAACCCAGGTTTACCTGGCTCAGAGGTAGGGACACTACCATTGCATCAAAAAAGGCTTATGATTTTTCCATGGATTTATCAGATATCAGAAACTGGAGCTTATACAATAGTTCAGCTCTCCTTTGACAATGTAGGCTTGGAATTTGTGGGAATTTTGATGGTGGACTGAATGAGTTATTACTGCTCTGGCTCTTTGGCAGCACAGTGACACAGTGGTTAGCACTACTGCCGCACAGTGCCAGGGACCCGGGTTTGATTCCACCCTTGGGTGACTGTGTGGAATTTGCACGCTGTCATCATGTTTGTGTCAGTTTCCTCCCATAGTCCAAAGGTCTGCAAGTTAGGTAGATTAGCCGTGCTATATTGCCCTGCAATGTTCAGGCAAGGTGGGTTAACTATGGTAAATGTGGGGTGATGGGGATAGGGTGGGATGCTCTTCAGAATGTTGGTGCAGACTCAATGGGGCGAATGGCCTCTGTCTGCACTGTAGGGATTCTATGACTACAACTTCAAGATTCAATGCAAGCACAAATTAATGGAGAAATCCTGAAGTTGTGGTCTGTCATTTGTTGCTTCACCACAAACTTGACTGTGGACTCTCTCTCCTGAATAACAATTCACAGAACCATTTGATCTAGTGAGAATTTCCTCTTAATCATTCCCATATTACTGTTAGAAACCCTGTTTAAAAAAAAAACATGTTCAATGAGAATCTGAATCATAACAGCTATTAATTAACTGACATGGTCCTGAAAAATAATTGTATATCTATGGGTTGTTATAAATTTCTCCGTTTCATGACTAGTTACTAGATTATTGCTTTTTTAAAATGTTTGTTCACACTTTTATCAGATTTACGTCTTTTTTATCTAGCTTTACATTTTTTCTATATCCCAATTCTTTTTTCATGGTCTCTAAAATTTGTAAAATGTGATTTGATTATTAATGCCTTTCATTTCCTGGTTGGCTGCCTGTGAGAATTCTGAAATGTACTTTGCTGCTTGAACAACTTAAATGTCATCACTGCAGCTCAGTCTGGAATTCCCTTTCAATTGATGCTACAATCAGTTGAACACCAAGAGAATTAATACATAATAGAGAAAGGTAAACAAAGCAGCACAGCTATCTTTAGGATCAACAGTGAGTATCCTTGCTTTACTCATGAAACTAAGTCCACTTCTTTCAGTAGCAGATGCTAGACAATTCTTTCTCTAACCAGTGTTGGTTGATCACTGTCAATATTTACGTATTGCAAACAAAAATTCCAAATGGCTATTTGCTGAGAAATCTGATGTAACTTATGTGTTGGTGCTGGAACAAGAATCTGAAAAATAGTGATCACTGTGAACAATCCATTATTGTTGTTGATAAAAAGAATCAAGCAAAATGAAAAAGAACTTTGGATTTAAATCCAACACTCAGCAGTACAGGCTGATCAAATTTCACATAACTGAATATTAACTACCCTGTGCCAACTGCCCAAAAAATTGTGACTATTATTTTTGTTTTCAAATTTAACAAAATAGAGGTCAAATCTGATCGTATGTTACGGTATAACAATTTAAAAGAACATGGACTCCAGTACCAAAGTATTATTCTTGATAATGAATCCAACTGTAATAATTTACAGCAAATTTTGTTTTAACCAGCACCTTCTGAACCAGCATTCTTGATAAATTGGCAATATTATATAACCTCAAATACTGTAAAGTTTACTTTATTGTTCTGTCCAATTATTATAGTCTTTTAAAAGTTATTTACCTCAATATAAATATTCTTGTTGTTCAATCAAATGACCACAAAAAATATCAACAGCTGATTTAATTTCAAGTCAATTTCTCCTCAAACACTGCAATCTACTGTGATGTCTAAGTAGTCAGTTGAGGGTATGAGTGAGAAGGCTTTCTGCTGGCAAGTTTTATTTAAGGAAAAGTTGCATTATTATTTAAGTGATTTTTGCTGAAAATAAAGTATACCAGTGATGTGCTTAACCCTGCATTTTGTTTCTATTACTTAGTGTGTATTTTTACAGTGATTATGTGGCTCTCTCGATTATCTGGAATACTTGATTAACCAGTACACTCCTGGTCCTATAGGTGCTGATTAAAAACATTTGCTGTAACCTTTTCTTTATTATTCAGATAGTGGATTCAAATGCAATTGATCTTGCTTTGAGGGACTGCAATCTGTGCATTCGTAGTTGGCACGCAAATGGAAAGCCGTATTTGTAGCCCATCATGCTACGAAAATAGTAGAAACAGTTATCAACTAAATGGGCATTTTTCCATAGCAATGCATCTAATATTCTGTACGGTTAATTAGCATTATCCTCGCACTTTGCTTTTGAATGCCCAATTGCTGAAAGTGTGAGCTTGAAACTTTGCAGCAAGGAAGACAGGCGATCTGGCTCTGAATGAAAAAGCAAGCAAACATGTATCATCTCAATCAATCAGATTGAAGCATTATGAAATTAACAATACAAGGCCTGAGGACAAAAAGTGGGTGAATGCAATGCCAGATCTCATCTAGTAAGGAAAATAAAGGAAGAAAGTAAGATTAGATTGAGTGAGAAAAGAACAGTATTTTAATATTTTAATTTTAATATTTTAAATTACCAACAGTAATTAAGACTTTGAAGCCAATTATTAAAACGAAAGCTAATTTTCTGTCTGAGAAAATAGTTCGGTATTAACACTTATTGCATTGTAAGAAATAATATATTGACTTGAATGGACAAGACTCAATTTTCTGTGCGAAGTTTACAAATTCATTGTAAAAGATACACAGCACAGAAAGTGACCACTCAATATCCATACTGGCATTTACACTCTTCATTACCCTCCTCACATTCCTATTCAGCTACTCCCATCAACTTTTCCTTTGATACCGTCCTTCCTCATGTGTTGATCTAACATCTCGTTGAATGCATTTATGACCTTCCTCTCAATTACTCCCTAAAGTGTCAACTTCATCAGTGTGACTTATTCCTTTGACTTATCAATAAATAGTAATTATACATGTTCAGGTCTCCATGCAAATGGAAATATCTTCCCTATGAGATGAATTTTAGATTTTTTTGGCTAATCCAAGTTTCGTTGCATCTATTTGGAATGTAGCTTGCTGTGAGGCCCAGCAAGTTTTCACCAGCATGCCACATTAATTGCCGATCCCAAACATATGGTATGCCTCATGTTCAATTTCTGTCCCATTTTATGATATGCTAAAGACCAACATTTCTTGAATCTGCCCCATCTTTAAAAGGCTACTGCATACCTGGAGGAATGTTGGCATCTGCAAGTTGTCCTGTTTGGTTTTGCAGACTATGATAAGACATGGCTGAGAAGGGAGAGTTGGCACTGCCTCTCTCCGACAGGAATCTGGAGGTCTTATTCCATGGGTAGTGCAATGAAGAGGAGTTCTCTACAGGCAGTAAGGAGGCCATCAGCAAGCCTTCCCTTGGAATCAAAAAACCAAAGGGCAGAAATCTTGGCTACAAAATTTTACCAACCAATCAGAGCTTGGCAGCACTTGTTCCTACTCCTCTGATGCTGCCTGGTCTGCTGTGCTCCTCCAGCTCCACACTGTGTTATCTCTGATTCCAGCACTGGCAGTTCTTACTATTTCTGCAATTGAGTTAATACCATTTGCAATGGAAGAAACCTTTAAGTGGTCACTAATTATTGCCAGAGCAGGAAATTCAACCATGCATCTTCATGTCCAGAATGTAATCCTTGTGGAGGCAGGATGCTGGTGGGGATTCAGATATGCTACGAACCCACCTGAGTGCATGTACTGGACAGAGATAGTAGGAACTGCAGACACTGGAAAATCTGAGATAACAAGGTGTAGAGCTGGATGAACACAGCAGGCAAAGCAGCATCATAGGAGCAGGAAGGCTGACGTTTCGAGCCTAGACCCTTCATCAGAAATGGGGGAGGGGAAGGGGGTTCTGAAATAAATAGGGAGAGAGGGGGAGGCAAATAGAAGATGGATAGAGGAGAAGATAGGTGGAGATGAAACAGACAGGTCAAAGAGGCGGGGATGGAGCCAGTAAAGGTGAGTGTAGGTGGGGAGGTAGGGAGGAGATAGGTCAGTCCAGGGAGGATGGACAGGTCAAGGGGGCGAGATGAGGTTAGTAGGTAGGAAATGGGGGTGCGGCTTGAGGTGGGAGGAGGGAATAGGTGGGAGGAAGAACAGGTTAGGGAGGCGGGGACGAGCTGGGCTGGTTTTGGGATGTGGTAGGGGGAGGGGAGATTTTGAAGCTTGTGAAATCCACATTGATACGAGGAACTTGAACAGTTCATCCACTTCACCAACACCTTCCACCCCAACCTTAAGTTCACCTGGACCATCTCTAACACCTCTCTCACCTTCCTGGACCTCTCTGTCTCCATCTCGGGCAACCACCTAGAAACCGATATCCATTTCAAGCCCACCAACTCCCACAGCTACCTAGAATACACCTCCTCCCACCCACCTTCCTGCAAAAATGCCATCCCCTGTTCCCAATTCCTTCACCTCTGCCGCATCTGCTCCCAGGATGAGGCATTCCATTCCCGTACATCTCAGATGTCCTCGTTTTTCAAGGACCGCAACTTCCCCCCCTCAGTGGTCGAGAACGCCCTCGACCGTGTCTCCCGCATTTCCCGCAACTCATCCCTCACACCCCGTCCCCGCAATAACAACCAAACAAAATCCCCCTCGTCCTCACGTACCACCCCACCAACCTCCGGATCCAACGCATCATCCTCCGACACTTCCGCCATCTGCAATCCAACCCCACCACCAAAGACATTTTTCCCTCCCCACCCTTATCTGTTTTCCGGACAGACCACTCTCTCTGTGACTCCCTTGTCTGCTCCACACTCCCCTCCAGCCCCACCACACCCGGCACTTTTCCCTGCAACCGCAGGAAGTGCTACACCTGCCCCCACACCTCCTCCCTCACCCCCATCCCAGGCCCCAAGAAGACTTTCCACATCAAGCAGATGTTCACCTGCACATCTGCTAATGTGGTATACTGCATCCGCTGTACCCGTTGTGGCCTCCTCTACATAGGGGAAACCAAGCGGAGGCTTGGGGACCACTTTGCAGAACACCTACGCTTGGTTCGCAATAAACAATTGCACCTCCCAGTCGCGAACCATTTCAACTCCCCCTCCCATTCCTCAGACGACATGTCCATCCTAGGCCTCCTGCAGTGCCACAACGATGCCACCCGAAGGTTGCAGGAACAGCAACTCGTATTCCGCTTGGGAACCCTGCAGCCCAATGGTATCAATGTTGATTTCACAAGCTTCAAAATCTCCCCTCCCCCTACCGCATCCCAAAACCAGCCCAGCTCGTCCCCGCCTCCCTAACCTGTTCTTCCTCCCACCTATACCCTCCTCCCACCTCAAGCCGCACGCCCAATTCCTACCTACTAACCTCATCCCGCCCCCTTGACCTGTCCATCCTCCCTGGACTGACCTATCTCCTCCCTACCTCCCCACCTACACTCACCTTTACTGGCTCCATCCCCACCTCTTTGACCTGTCTGTTTCCTCTCCACCTACCTTCTCCTCTATTCATCTTCTATCCGCCTCCCCCTCTCTCTCTATTTATTTCAGAACTCCCTTCCCCTCCCCCATTTCTGATGAAGGGTCTAGGCCCGAAACGTCAGCCTTCCTGCTCCTATGATGCTGCTTTGCCTGCTGTATTCATCCAGCTCTACACCTTGTTATCTGCGTGCATGTACTTCCCACTTCCAAGCTCACCAACAGGGACAACAGAAGGTTCCATCCAATGATCTGTGGGAATGCCCTATCTCACATTTTATACAGGAGTTGCATTCGCAGTCTACTAGTCTACTAGTCTTCTGACACCACTCTATTTTCGACAGCCACTTCACACCATTTCAGTGGTGATCAAGTTCTTCTGCCCGAGCCTCAATTAATTCCTCAATCCTTCCATTCTTGACTCAATCACCTCATTATCTGCTCCGTTTACTGTATTAAACAAAATGGGGCAACTCCAGAGCTCAAGAACTTTGACTACATTTTTCTTGTCCTGCCACTTGAGAATAAGCTACAGCATTCTTTCGCAAGTAATTGAGAAGTAGATGAGATGAGGCACCTCAGGAACATCAAGGGTAGGAAAAGGGAATCCTTTCAGTGCTGAAGAAGGGTCTAGGCCCGAAACGTCAGCCTTCCTGCTCCTCTGATGCTGCTTGGCCTGCTGTGTTCATCCAGCTGTACACCTTGTTATTCTGTATTGTGTATCAGGTTTACTGTTTAACATTGAAATTTGCATGAACTCCATAGATGAGGTTTGTAATTGGGAATATTATAAAAAGAATGAATTGGCCCAGAACTAAATTAGTTGCTGTAACACTTGCAAAGTAATTTATGATAATTTCTGCTACTTATCTTCCCACTACATATTCTGCTTAATGTTAGCTTTGTCAATTAAAAATATTTAAGTGCATTTATAATTTAAGCTAAATTAGACAATGTTTGCTTTGAAAAATAGATCTATTTTAGCACCATTGCTAAGATTTCTTATCATGCTGCAGGCAGAATTACACAAAGTAATCAACTGGATTAGATGAGACATGAAGTGAGCCAATTAAAGATGATTGTATAACATCTTGCTATCTTTTATTGCCTGCTTCCCTTTGGATTGATGTATTGAGATTTCAGATTCATGTTCATTTTGTATCTAAAACTTCAATCTGCCTATTCTTCACAACTCAACAATAGCAACGTGCATTTATATAGGGTTTTAATGTAATAAAACCTTTTGAATGCTCCCCAGGAGTATTGTGAAGCGGCATTGGACACCTAGTCACATCAGAAGATATTAGGCCAGAAGGCTACAGCTTGTTCAAAGAGGTGGAGTTAAAGGAGTATATTACAGAAAGTGTGATAGAAAAGTGAAGAAATGCACAGTGGGAATTCGAGAGCTTAGGGACTAGACAGCTGAATGCTTGCCACTAGTATTGAAGCAGCTAAAATTAGGAATGTGCTGAAAGCCAGAATCAGAGGATTATAGATAACTCACAGAATATGGGACTGAAGGAAATTATAGAGATGGGGAGCAGCAAAGCCAAACTTTGAAACAAGTGTAAGAATTTTAAAACTAATGTTGGCTGATTAATTGCTGGTTGATTTTTATTAGCATTGGCTAAGTAAGTAACAGCCTTTGAAGGTTTGCACAGGTATTTAAAATTAGCAAAGTCTACAGAGAGGACTGCAAATTATGGTGAAAGCTTGGCTCTCACTTCACTTACTCATAGTTATGAGTGTTATTGTTTCTTTCCTCTTTGGCCTGCAGCATGAGACACTATAGCATAGCGGTTACCTCACTGGAGTAGAATCCAGAGATATGAGTTTGAATTCTATTATAACTATTGGTGAATTTAAATTCAGGTAAGTAAACCTGCAATAAAAAGCTTGTAGCTGCAACAGTAACCATGAAACCTTTGGATTGCTATAAGGACTGCATGATTTATTGATTAGGAGATGGTAAGGACTGCAGATGCTGGAAGCCAGAGTCAATAAGTGTGGATCTGGAAAAGCACAGCAGGTCAGACAGCATCCAAGGAGCAGGAAAGTCAATGTTTCGGACCAAAACCCTTTGTCAGGACTGGGGAAGTTGAGGGGGTTGGTGAACCCAGAAGTAAATAGAGGGAGGCAGGTGGGGAAGGTTAGGTTGGCCCTACCTGCATCCACCGATCACCATCCCATCTACCCTTCCCCCAGCCCCAACCCCTCCCTCTATTTACTTCTGGGCTCCCCTCCCTCTCTCCAGACCTGACAAAGGGTTTTGGCCCAAAACGTTGACTTTCCTGCTCCTCGGATGCTGTCTGGCATGGTTTATTGACACTGTATCAGGAAGGAAAAGTGCAGTTGTCACAAGTCTGGATTATAAGTGATTCCAGATCCACAAACATTTAGTTGTCTGTAACTGCTTTTCTCAGGAATTGTCAAGAAACTTAATCAGTAACTTCAAATCCTCTGGGGAAAACTGGTAACATCAGCGAATTAACTGGTTTCCATTGCAAACGCTTGCAGTGAGGGAACATTCTAATACTAGGTGAACACTGCATTTGCTAACTCAACACTGTGATTTATCCACAATGCCTCAGTTTTGTGTCTTTCAGCTTCTCAGGTTTTACTTAAAGGACATTTGTTGTGATGCAACAAAAGTTACTCCACTGCTTGGTAAACTTCTGTAGTCTTTGTTACATTAGGTAATACAAAATACAGATAGAATGTATGATTGTAAAATACAGACTGAATTACCTCACTTTACTTAAAAACTACACTGAGTTTTAAAACCTTTATAATTCCACAGAATCTCAACACGTACATTTTTTTAACAAATAGGGAATTGTGAGAAGAGCTTCACCCAAGGAGTAGCAAGAATGTGGAGCTTGCTAGTACAGTGAATGATTGAGATAAATATTATAGATGCATTTAAAGGGAGCTTGGATAATCAGATGCAGGAAGAGAGTAGGTGATTATGCTGATACAATTAGACTAGGAAGGATGGACGGAGGCTTGAATCGAGCATAAACATCAATAGATATTTGGTGAGCTGAATGGACTGGCTTGATGTTTTATATCCCTCACATTTCCATGTTTTGTATAGTTAACTGTATTAGAAAATAAAGTCTTCATAAATAAAATCTGTAAGGTTATGGCAATATCAAAATACTTCTTCAGGTTTTATTATTGTAGATGTTAAGGTCTAACATTGATCTTACGTTGTAAAAATGGATAAATGATCATTTACTTCTTTGTTTTTTATTGTACCTTGTTGCAAGTAAATTGGCTGTTGCATTTTCCTTTGTTATCGCATTAACGAAACTTCAGATCTAATTATTTGACTGAAGTTTTCAGGTTCTTGTTTTCTCAAAGGTGCTATGAAAATGCATGTTCTTTTTTTAATTAAGTGTTATTTCCTTTCTTCTTTTAGCATAGGGTATCCAGTGGTGTCTTTCGGTTTTGAATTTAAAAGTTACATTTGCTACAAGATTAAACTAAGGAAACAGAAAGAAGTTAAAAAACAGAATGAATTCTTCATGCAAATTCTTCATCAGGCCTTACCCTTAGAACCACAACTGCAAACAAGACAGGACCGGAGTTTGGAAGAAGGTATTTGGAACAGAATTCCAATTCCCCTTTTTTTCTGTTTTTATTTGATACTGACTCTATTATTGCCATATATTTCTTCCCATAAAACAATGCTTTTACCCATATTCTTAAACAAATCCAAGTTGTGGTGACAAAGTATATTTAATAGCTAAGCCCAACATATTGAATTTTGGATATTTGGTGCTCGTTCTTTTAAAACTTGTTATAGCCCACCAGCCATAGGTACTGGTAGAAGTGTTTTGCTTACACTGATTCTTGCAAAGATGATATCATTAATAGATAAAATGTACATGCTTCATCCTTTCATGTTGTTAAATTGCTGTTCTTGAGCAGTTTCCACCTCACTGATCACTATCATAGAATAAATGGTACACACATGGCAAAAGGAAGTATGCATCTTTGCTGATGATGCTAACAGGAATTAATCAATATAATCTACAACAAAATAACATCACCTAGCAAAGACCCGTAGGCACAGCAAACAGAAGACTACTCAGCCTTCGTACATCACTCAGTTGTTCCAAATAGTATTTTTATTTTATTCAAAATTGATATGGCAATTACCTGTGGTCCATGAGGACCAAAGGATCACTGTTAGAGGAACAAGTGGTTATATAGCTTGAGGGTCACCAATCTGAATCAAGGATGGGGCAAGGTAAGGATTCAGACCTCCATGAACTACCACAGCTGGTATAGAGATTGAACCAATTCTGTTGCCATCATTCTCCACCACACTCTAACCACAAAGCCAGCAGGGCTAGTTGGGTCCCACCATTTTTCTGAGGCCCTCTATAAACTAGCTTGGTCTTCAATTTCATACTCTAAACCATTAAAGGTGAAAGGAAAAACCATGTATGTAACCATTGTAGGTTGGATTCCTCCTCAAAACATCTTCTTTTCAAGGTTGGATATGCAAGTCATGAATCTGTCTTTAATAGAAACTGCTGGAGAAACTCAGCAGGCCTGGCAGCATCTGTGGAGACAGAAATAGAGTTGACATTTTGAGTCCAGTGATCCTTCTTCAGGAACTGGACTCAAAACATCAACTCTGATTTCACTCCACAGACCCTGCCAGAACTGTTGATTTATTCCAGCAATTTCTATTTTTGTTTCAGATCTTCAGCACCTGCAGTTCTTTGCTTTATTTTATATGAATCTGTCTTTTCTCCTTACTGATTTTGAAACACTGATGTATATTTCCATTGCTGCCTTCATGTTATAATTTTTTTTTGTCTTTTTTTAGCATTTAAAGGGCTTCCACTGTCCTCTCAATACCAGCATTCAAGTAGAACCATTACAATAGGGAAGAAATACACTTTAGCCTTACCAGAACTAGAATTTAAAGATAGAGGTAAAGAGAAAGAGAAGGAAGTCACAAAACAAGCTGTTACAGCCAGTAACTGTTTACAAGCAATGGACTCTAGAGTGACTGAAACAGCGTGTGTGGAAAATCACTTCAACAAGATTGCAGAGTATGAGTCATCTGGTAGCACAGAAAATCTACCCCAATGTGCTGAATCTTCAAGAATTTGCAAGCACGTATCACCAAAGGCACATGGTGCATCTAATGGCAGTGTGATTTTTGTTAAAAACGAGAAGAAGCAAAAATGTTCAAGCAAAAACACAAACACACGAAAAGGGATCTTTGAAAATGGCTCTTTAAATAATCAGAACAGCAAACCAGAGACTGTACTACGGTAAGATGTCCTTATTTTGGCTGGGATTCTACTGTAGAAAAAAGCATAGTTAAATGTCAGTGTGATGAGCTTGACTAAAAATGGATTCCTTCAAGGGATGTGGGTACTACTGGGAAGACTAAAAATTATTGTCCTTCTCTAATAGTTGTTGAGAAAGTGCTGAATGCCTTTCTTGGCTTCACAGAGTTGTCAAAGTCACCATTCCTGTAGGTTTGGAGCTATAGATGGACCATAACAGGTAAGGACAACAGATTACCTGCCCAAAGAACATTGAACCAGATGCTGTTTTAAAACAGCTTGGTAATTTTATGGTAATATTACTGATACTAAAAATAGTTGGGTCCCACCATTTTTCTGAGGCCCTCTATAAACTAGCTTGGTCTTCAATTTCATACTCTGAACCATTAAAGGTGAAAGGAAAAACCATGTATGTAACCATTGTAGGTTGGATTCCTCCTCAAAACGTCTTCTTTTCAAGGTTCCAGTTCCTGAAGAAGGATCACTGGACTCAAAATGTCAACTCTATTTCTGTCTCCACACAGATTCATGACTTGCATATCCAACCTTGAAAAGAAGACGTTTTGAGGAGGAATCCAACCTACAATGGTTACATACATGGTTTTTCCTTTCACCTTTAATGGTTTAGAGTATGAAATTGAAGACCAAGCTAGTTTATAGAGGGCCTCAGAAAAATGGTGGGACCCAACTATTTTTAGTTTTTAAACTTGATTTAAGATTTATTTAATTGATTGAATTGAAATTCCTCAGCTTCTATGGTAAGATTTGAGGGAATCTTTAGATCATTCCTGGCTTCTGAACTATGGAAGAAAAGTAGCGAAGTTGCTGGAAATCTGACATTAAAAATAAAAAACGCTGGTTATCAAATAACCTCTATGCAAAGAAACAAGAGTTAACACCTTTTCTCTCTCCATTGACATTGCCTGACCTCCTGAGTGTTTCCAGCAGTATCTGTGTTTCAGGCCTATTGGTCCAGTAATTGACCGCTATGCTTATCATACCCTGGGCATATTTGTGAACAAATCAATACAAACATTTAATATTACCATGTCCAAGATCATTGAAAGCAATAGATTATGCGATCATGGTAATGTAATGATTACTTGCTCCCAGCTAATGAACAAGAGTATCAGCTCTTACTGAACTTAGAGTTGATGCTGGAGGGGTCCGCATAAACAAAGAACTATTGAATATTCTAATTGTTTCACCAATTGTTTGCACTTTATCTTTGCATGGGGTCATTTAACCCATCATTTGCCTAGTAAAGGAGGCTTACATTTTTCAACTATGCAGGTTGCATTTGCATTTACAGACTCTTTCAAATATGGCATCAGTGGGATAGTTGAATATAAACCACCACCTTCATCTCCTTTAATCATCTACCTGCTCAATTTTCAAGTGTAAAATAGATGGTCATGAGTTGAATTGCTCCTGTTGGCATGATTTAAATTAATTAATTTTTATTAATTTGTACTTTGGTAGATTGAAAATAAACACATTTCAATCAGTACTAACATTTAAGTTCACACAGATTAATGCTTACATGGATGAACAATAGTTTTGCCATCTCTAGTTAGATGTATTATTGGAGATGATGGCTGATCATTAATTCTGTTTCCATTGATCAAATCTCTGCATGCTTTGGCATTTTATTTAGATGCACAATAATTTGATTGATATGTTCTATGGCAGTATGCATTTTTCGCCTACAAGTGAGCATCCTTGTGATTGATCAGAAACAACAATCAAATTATCTGAAGTTTAATAAAATATTGCACTGCTGATATTATTATGGGATTAGAATAAGTAGAATGTAATTTGTTAAATTCTGCAGAAATTGCTCTGTTTTTCATTCTGACAAGAACATTGAACTGGGAGGTAAATCTGAAGTAATTTTGTAAACTTAATACCAGAGTAGTAGATGGTAGGGTGGTAATAGATGGAAAGTATTCAGCCTGGAGCTCAGTGACCAGTGGTGTTCTACAGGGATCTGTTCTGGGACCTCTGCTCTTTGTGATCTTTATAAATGACTTGGATGAGGAAGTGGAAGGGTGGGTTAGTAAGTTTGCCGATGACATGAAGGTTGGTGGAGTTGTGGACAGCGTGAAGGGCTGTTGTAGGTTGCAACGGGACATTCACAGGATGCAGAGCTGGGCAAAGAAGTGGCAGATGGAATTCAACCCAAAAAAGTGTGAAGTGATTCATTTTGGAAGGTGAATTTGAATGCAGAATACAGGGTTAATGGCAGGATTCTCGGCAGTGTGGAGGAACAGAGGGATCTTGGGGCCCAAGTCCATAGATCCCTCAAAATTGCTACACAAGTTGATAGGGTTATAAAGAAGGTGTATGGTGTGTTGGCTTTCATTGGCAGGGGAATTGAGTTTAAGAGCTGTGAGGTTATGCTGCAGCTGTATAATACTCTGGTTAGGCCACACTTGGAATATTGTGTTCAGTTCTGGACACCTCATTATAGGAAAGATGTGGAAGCTTTAGAGAGGGTGCAGAGGAGATTTACCAGGAGCTGCCTGGACTGGAGGGCAGGTCTTATGAGGAAAGGTTGAGGGAGCTAGGGCTTTTTTCATTGGAGTGAAGAAGGATGAGAGTTGACTTGATAGAGGTGTACAAGATGATGAGAGGCATAGATAGAGTGGATAGTCAGAGACATTTTCCCAGGGCAGAAATGACTATTATGAGGGGACATAATTTTAAGGTGATTGGAGGAAGGTATAGGGGAGATGTCAGAGGTAGGTTCTTCACACAAAGAGTGGTGGGCGTGTGGAATGCGCTGCCGGCAGTGGTAGTGGAGTCAGATACTTTAGAGACTTTTAAGCGATTCTTGGATAGGCACGTGGAGGATAGTAAAATGTAAGGTATGCAGGGTAGATTGATCTTAATAGGATAATAAGTCGGCTTAATGACACAGAAATTCATATGGACCTGAAACAAACTGATAGTAATCTTGCCAAACCGCAAAAACAACCTTCTGATTCAGCTTCTGAAGAAGGCTCACTGGATCTGAAACGTTAACTCTGCTTTCTCTCCATTGATGCTGCCAGATCAGCTGAGTTTCTCCAGCAATTTCTGTTTTCGTGAAGCAAAACAACCTTATTAGATTGATATAGAGTGGAGATTTATTCTGAGTGCATTAGCAAACCTATAATGCGATACAAGTATAAACTGTGCATTGATGTGTATACGCACAAAGTAAGTCAAGTTACACTATAGGGAAAAAAAAATCACAATATGCTGTAATTTACTGCAATGCCAACATCCCACTAAAAATCATGATTTATGAAAGATGTTGTGTAACTAATTGGGATAAATAACTGAGTATGAATTTGCTGATTACGAATTTTTAGTTTTCAAAAATCACTTGACAATAAAAAAAATCTTTGATAATCTGCATTGTATATATACATATTAGTCAGATTCCTCAAGAATTGAAAGTTCAGGTTATCAAAGGTGTTTGAGATCAAGCCAGAAGGCAAAAAGGGCTTTCGCTTTGGTTGGCAGCAGCAACATTTGGGAAATTGATCATCTGTTCTGGAGGCTGCACACATTCAGGGAGCTTCACCAGACAGGAATTATTTTCATTGATGCATTTTTAATCTTACTCACATGACTGCTATATCAATGTAAACAAGCGATTTACATGATACTGGGACAAGTGAAGTTTCTATTCATGACCTGCAGTCATATATTACAAATAAAAGAAAATCAGATTTGTAATCAATTTTTAGCTTTCACATAGGATCTCTTTTGTTCTGCACATTAGACACATTGAATGGATTAACATTAAAATAATTTTTATAGTCAGTAACAAATGAAGCTGTTCATTTGCTGAGGCAAGCAGTAACTCCTAGAAACCCTAAAATCCAACAAATTACTCCAAAATGGACTACAGGGATTCAGCAGAAATTTATGTAAATCATGTGTAACAGTCCAACACTGACTGTATTACTGAGGAGCTGACCAAGAACACTAAAATAGTAGATTTCAGAGCTCCTCCAATGAAGTCACCTCAATCCAATTTTGAGTTTAGAACAAGTCTAGTATAAGTCGAGTCTTTTAGAAGACTACTGAAATTGATTGTCAAAGAAAGTACAATACAACTCACTGCAATCAAGTAAGATTAAAAATAGCAAGTGTGGTACTCCTAAAATATAAAGTAGGTCATCATAATGTTTTTGTCTTCTTTCAAACCATTATTTATAAATACGAATGTGACAATAAAAGACAGGCTAATGCAAACACAGCCTTCTTTGCACATTGAAGTTGGCCCAAAGAACTATACTATAATGTTCATTGACTACGATATAATGCAGACCTATTTGTAACTTAGCAACATGCTACAGCAATAACTCATGTCTAACCAGAATTGCAGTAAGGATAACCTTTATGGTTTCATTCTGTCACAACCTCTGATTCTATGCACACCACTTGAAGGTCGATCAGAGGTCGGACATCTGGGCAAAAAAATTAGTGTGGACGTAGGTCAGAACTCTAAAGTGTTGTGGAGATTTTTTAATTTGTTCCAGAATTTACAAAAAAGACTGTGATAGAGATGAAATAATTACAGGTATAAAACTTCTGAGGGTGACTAATAGAATGTGACACCTAAAAATGTCAAAAAACTTCAGACAGACTAATCTGTGATCCACAGCAAGTTCACCTAATATCCAACATACTGGAAATTCAAGCATTGGAAGCCATACAGTTTACTGAAAAATATTTTCTTACAAGACCTTTTCTTCAACTAAAAGCATCAACTTATCTAAAAACTACAGGCCTACCATAAAAGATAGGCTGAAACATGTTTTTTCTTCATTTGTACCTAATCTATTAATTGTGAATGATGATGTATGAGAGTTGGATGAGCAAGATGTAATATTTTCAAAGCTCCAGGGTAAGTGTGGATTAATAAATAACCCACACTTTAAAAAAACTTGCTAAAAGCCTTGCTGTTGGCATTATTTCAATGGGAATAATTGCTCTGAGGGTAAGAAAATGCACTCCTCTCACATACAGAATAAATTGATCATGGATCAGAATGTAGCAGCGTATTGAGTGCCTGGAAGAGCCATGTTATGTTCTGTGCAGAACAAAGGTGTGTTATCTATCCTGACTAGTCAGCTCAGAACCTGAGTATCAATGTTCATGGGATACATGAAGTGCTGAGCACCCATGAAGAGGGTAAAGATGGCTCAATGATGGCTAAGGGGGAAACCATCTATACCCCAACAACTGGGTCCCTTAGGCCAACAGGAATGTCTAAGAAGGGCTGATGATGTCCCAGAGGAGGATGAGTAATCTCCGTCTACTTCCTCTGAAGCAATAATCGAAGCACGATGTAGGAGAGCCTGAATGAAGTGGACACCAAGTCAGGTAGATCTCTAATTTGGTCATTGTGGTGTGTTATGAATGATAGACACAAATATTAACTGAAAAGAAAAGTCACCTTCTCACATGGCAGGAAGAGTAACAGTAGGTGACAGTTGAGGCTGCAGGCAGTAGATCAACTTACTGTGACAGTAAGATTACCCACATTGGATGGACTCTTTTCTGTACCCAGAGATGCTTGCTGCATTCACAATCATGTGGTTAGTCCTGCAAGCCTCAAAGTTCATCTGCTCAACCCTTACTGGATCAGAGATAGTAGGAACTGCCGATGCTGGAGAATCTGAGATAACACGGACAGGGAAGTCCCGGAGAGAGTGGTCAATCCGGTCCTCACGTACCATCCCACCAACCTCCGGATCCAACGCATCATCCTCCGACACTTCCGCCATCTGCAATCCAACCCCACCACCAAAGACATTTTTCCCTCCCCACCCTTATCTGCTTTCCGGAGGGACCACTCTCTCCGTGACTCCCTTGTCCGCTCCACACTCCCCTCCAGCCCCACCACACCCAGCACTTTTCACTGCAACCGCAGGAAGTGCTACACCTGCCCCTACACCTCCTCCCTCACCCCCATCCCAAGCCCCAAGAAGACTTTCCACATCAAGCAGATGTTCACCTGCACATCTGCTAATGTGGTATACTGTATCCGCTGTTCCCGTTGTGGCCTCCTCTACATCGGGGAAACCAAGTGGAGGCTTGGGGACCGCTTTGCAGAACACCTACGCTCGGTTCGCACTAAACAACTGCACCTCCCAGTTGCGAACCATTTCAACTGCCCCTCCCATTCCTCAGACGACATGTCCATCCTGGGCCTCCTGCAGTGCCACAACGATGCCACCCGAAGGTTGCAGGAACAGCACCTCATATTCCGCTTGGGAACCCTGCAGCCCAATGGTATCAATGTGGACTTCACAAGCTTCAAAATCTCCCCTCCCCTACCACATCCCAAAACCAGCCCAGCTTGTCCCCGCCTCCCTAACCTGTCCTTCCTCCCACCTTTCCCCTCCTCCCACCTAAGCCCCTCCCCCATCTCCTACCTACTAACCTCATCCCGCCCCCTTGACCTGTCCGTCCTCCCTGGACTGACCTATCTCCTCCCTAACTGCCCACCTACACTTACCTTTACTGGCTCCATCCCCGCCTCTTTGACCTGTCTGGCTTGTCTCCACCTATCTTCTCCTCTATCCATCTTCTATCCGCCTCCCCCTCTCTCCCTATTTATTTCAGAACCCCCTTCCTCTCCCCCATTTCTGAAGAAAGGTCTAGGCCCGAAATGTCAGCCTTCCTGCTCCTCCGATGCTGCTTGGCCTGCTGTGTTCATCAAGCTCTACATCTTGTTATCTCAGTAATTTAGGGCAGTTTCTTCAACATTTTTAAAGACAAAACTACTAGTATAAGAGAATGGTGTGGGTGAGTGAAATGCTCCATTTTCCAAGGCCAGGAGCACAATTGTTACCACTTTTGATGACCAATGCTTCAGATGCAGCTGTAGATAGAACTGCTGTACAAAATCAACATAATATAACCCCTGTTGCAAAATTTCATTAGTGGCAGTACCAACATGTCAGTTGACCTTCAACATGTACAATGCGAACAGGTATATGCTAATTTTACTGCATTCCATGAAAATGTATGCTTGTGAGTGTGTGATGGTGGACTGTGCATAGGAGACGATAAGCTTCATTTTCTACTTTTTGTCATTTTTTGCATATTGAGCATGATGCAGAGTCATTGAGTATGCCCAAGTGTAAGAATTCTCCTTCAGAAGCATCTTGTAAACTTGTGGCTTCTACACCTCGATGGGCAAGAGCAGCAGATAGATGGGAACACCATCACCTGCAAGTTCCCCTCCCACACATCATACTGCAATAAACTGCATTATTTCAGGGTCAAAATCCTTGAACTTCCTTTCTAGTAGCACTATGGAAGTCCCTGCTCCACAACAACTGGCAATGGTTCAAGAAGATGATTCACCACCAATTTCTCGAGCAGTTGGGGAAGGGCAATAAATGCTGGCATAGCTAGTGCTACCCACATTCCACGAGTAAACTTTTAAAACACATAAGTTAACCTTTTCACATAATGATAAAAGTTAACTATATATGCTTCTTTCTCCTAGATTGGAACATGACATAAAGAAGCTAAAGGCAGACCTACAGACCTCTAGGCAATCTGAACAGGAGCTCCGCAGTCAGATTAATCTACTGACCAACAGCAAACAAAAAATACGATCTGAACTTGTTCAGCTTCGACAAGAAAATGAGCTTTTGCAGACCAGGTAGGAATGGTGTTGATGCACAGTGCAGGTTGGCAATAATTAAGTCAGCAGTCTTTCTCAAATTCAATAACCACACTGCAACACTAGTGTAACAATTGTGTTTCAATTTACTTTAAGAATGCATTGTGCTTTGCAAGCAAAACAGAAAGACAAACAAAATATCATCTACTTAGAGAAAAAGCTTAGAACGGAACTGGATGGTCGAGCGCTGCTGGAGAAGCAGCTGATGGACACAAAGAAGAGGAAAACAGATGAAACTACAGTTATTGCACGGGCAGTCTCATTCAATGCTTCAATCAGGTATTGTGCATAACACATGCAAAGTACCAGTTAGATATGGAATAACTATCAAAGTCATGGTTAGCTGCTTTTTTTCACCACCTATTACTTCAAGTCAGTAGAAGTATGTAGTTCAAACTCATATTTGGTTGAACCTGATAAAGTTTATCACTAAACTATACATACCTACTTGAATCAAACTGACCATGATATTGAGATTTATTCTACTTGCCTAGATTGTCATGCCTCAATAAATTTATCACAAATATACGTTTAACATTATAAATTGAAGGTTGATTTTAAGTGTGGGCCCATTTCTGTGAATGAATAGCGCTGTGAGTTAGAAACCCAATGCCTTTCCAGGAATGAAGAATATTTTAACTTGTGAGGCTTATTCAAATATCACCATCCAGCTTGCCACCCAGTCCAGCTGGGAAATTGGGATAGCAAGTGGTGGAAAATTTCTGGGCTGAAGAGACCCACTGCTGCGAGCAGGCAGAAGGTGGGACTGAGTGGCTGAACACTGCTCCTACTGCATGGGTAGACATGGTTTAATCATTTCTGAGCATCCCAACATCTCTTTGCCCGTCTAACTCTCACCTCTTTTTAGATTCTGCTTCAAACTTACTTCTTGATAAAACTTTTGGTATCCAGTCCTAATGTGTTTTTTGACTCTGTGTGGCTCTTTGTTTGGTGATGCTTCTTTGAAATGTCTTTTGAGGTGCTACATAAATGCAATTGTCATTGTTTTCTCTCATTCCTTATTAGTGCAAGAGCAGTAAAAATTTTATAAAAAGTCTTGCAACTTTGTATCATGCATCAAAGAGAAGATAAATATGAGTATAACTTCGAAATTACCTTGTTATATTCATTTATTTACAATATCTTCGTTTTGAAGGCAATATGTTCTCTAGGAGGTGATGTGGACCAGCAGACTTTGGTTAGCTCAGTTAATGCTGGTTGTTCTCTATTTTCATTTACAACAGTCCTAACCATGAGAGGACTGATAGTGTCTCACCACATATTCTGTATATATGTCAGCAATCCCAAACCGTAGGTTGCAAACCCAAAATTGGTCATAGAGACAGGAAATAGGGTCACAAGTTCCAAAAGTACCTTTTGTACCAAGGCACAACTGGTGCACAGTCCTGCCCTGCTCATTTTCAGTCTCTCTGCTTGATATCATTACCAAAACATTCATGGCGTGAGACATCGATTTGCTCCAGCTCCATTCATCTTTCTCCCATTGCATCAATTGATATGAAAAAAATTAGTGGAGCCTGAGCAGTTGCTATAGGATGAGCATGTGGGTAGATATGGTGGGAGAGTAACCTTCTTAATTATGACATGGTCCATTATGAAAGGAGGCAATATCAATTAGTTTTCCTCCGAGCATCAGTTTACCTTGGTGGAGTGTGGGCAACTGAACTTTAGAAAAATAGTAATTTTTAATTAAATGTATATTAGAAAAAAAAATTAAATTTATATTTCTTTTGTGCCTGAGATGCTGTTAAATTTAAAGTAGCCCACTGGAAAAAAGTTTGCAAAGCAGTCTGGTAACTTATTGTAATTAACCAGGAGATACCAAGATTTGAGCCATTGGCATCAGGATTGCATCAATTGCCTGCCTTTTTTATTCCGGTGTATTTTGACTTTTATGGTTTACATCTTCCAGAGGTGATTCTACAGAGACTCTGAAGAACAGAATGAAAGAATTGGATGCAGAATATAAACAGCTGCAAACAGAGCTCAAAATGAAAGATGAACACCTAAGGAAAGTAGAACGGGAGGTGCAGGTAAATATTTTGTATCAAGCTTCAGAATACTCTTTTATATAGGAACAAAGACTACAGTGTTTATCACCAATATTACCATTGCAGGAACTTACAGTCATTGTTTGGATGTCGGCTTGTTCTAAGGTTTAATGCCTGTGCTTTGGCATTGATAGAATGTCGGTTCTGTGTTAAAGCCATTATTTGATTCCTTGGTTGCTCACAAGTTCTTTGGCTGGATGTAATAGCATTAATTGGGTGTTGGGTGGCACTGTGGTTCTTTAGCTGGTTCAATACCATTAGTAATCGGGTAAGTTCCTTTCGGAGAAATAAATTGATAGGGGAAGTATAACTTTGGTTAGGTAAGCAGAGTCCACAATCAGAGTTGGACATCTAAATTGCAATGGACTGAAAGTGCATGTTAGATATGCAGACCCTGAATTTCTGCACGATTTAACTGATCTGCAAAAATTATAGCGGAGTGGTCAGGAGCATATCATGGAAATACAGTTCACCATTTATATAATAAAAATATAAAGATACATGGATAAATAACGTATTATAAAGTCCTTGAGACAGTTTGGCTTTCTATTTTTCTTGCTGGCAAAAGCACATTGTTGGTACTTTTCCCCTTCCTTTCCCATTCTTTAAAACAAGTTGTTACTGCAGCATCTGATGTTTACAACAGCTTCCCACAGACTTATCTGGAACCTTCCAGACAGTCTGCTGAAAAAGACTTTTAAAATGTAGCCAATATTCGTAGAATGCCATCTTAACAGTTCTTTTGTTGAATTTTACTTTTAACCAAACACAGCTCTTTTAACAGGCAATTCATCTGCCAAAATTGTATTCAAAAGTCCAAAGGAGAGACCAATTGGACTTGAAACAGTAGCTTTATTTGTCTCTGTACAGATATTGTCAGACCAGCTGAGTTTCTCCAGGACTGTCTTTTTTTATGTATCAAATCTCCAGAATCCATAGTATTTAGATGTGTTCTCTTGAAAAGCCCAAAATTCTCACCATTTCTAGTGCCACTATCAATTCACAACATTTACATTATTCATTTGTGTTGTTTCATTAAATAATAAAAATGTCACAACTATTTTTGTTGTAATTGATTTTTATAAAAATGGCCAATAAATACAAAGTCAATGTTTGTGTCGAGTCAGTATGTCTGGGCTCAGGAAGGGGAATAATTGGCCATGGCAAACATTTAAATTAGTAGCTAATGATACCAGCTACAAAGTATAACTGTGTATTTACACGAACAAAATAACAGAATGATCCACATTTGTGATGTCTCCTACTGCCAAAAGTCTAAGCAGCACTTTATCAACCAGAAACATGGGAAATTGTGTCAAATGGTTGAAATTCTAGAGTTGGTTGGCACGTGTAGCTTGGTAAGAATCTGAATTTGTAGAAGAGGAAAAGAGAAGAATGCAATATTGCTGGGGATACAAAAGTAGAACTTCTTGATTCTACTGTGTGAGCTCCTACAAGACGAAAACTAGTAAGGGAACAGAACTTTGGAAATAGGAGCAGGAGTATGTCATTTGGCCCAACTGGCCTTCTCTGCCATTCAACTAAATCATAGCTGATCTCCTACCTCAACACCATTTTCCTACACTATCTCCATAGTTAATGATAACTTCAATATCTAGAAATCTGTCAATCTCTGTTTTTAATATAATCAATGACTGAGCGCCCACAGCCCTGTGAAGAAGAGCATTCCAAAGATTTCTCACATGCTGGCTGAAGAAATTCCTCCTCATCTCACTCCTAAATAATCTACCTATGTTGTGAGACTGTGCCATTTGTTTCTAGACCCCTCAGCCATTGGAAACATCCGTCCTGTTGAGCCCTGTAAGAAAGTTGTATATTTCAGTAAGATCATCTCTCATTCTTTTAAACACTAGAGAATATTGTTCCAGTCTCCTCAATCTCTCCTCATTATCCTGTCGTTACAAAGATTGGTCTGGTGAATCAATATTGGACTGTATATCCTTCCTTGGACAGCCAAACCTGTACACAATACTCCCATTGTGGTCTCACAAAGGCTCATACAAATGCAGTAAGATTTCTTTACTCACGTGACCAAATCCTCTTGCAGTTAAAAAAAAGTATCGTTTGCCTTCTTCATTGCTTGCTGCACTTTCATGAAGGCTTTTTCAAAATTCATTCATGAAATGTGGGCATCGCTGACTGGGTGAGTATCTATCGTCCATCCTTAATTGTCCCTGAAAAAGTGATGGTGAGCTGCCTTTTTGAACCACTGCAGTCCATTTGTTCTAAGTATACCCTAAAGGCTGTAAGGGAGGGAGTTCCAGGATTTTGAGCCAGTGACACTGAAGGAACAGCAATGCAGTTCCATGTCAGGGTGGTGAGTGACTTGGAAGGGAATTTGAGCAGGTGGCGTTCCCATGCATCTGTTGCCCTTGCCCTTCTGGATGGTAGTGGTCATGAATTTGGAGGATGATGTCTAAGGAGCATTGGTGAATTTCTGCAGTGCACCTTATAGTTGGCACACACTGCTGCTATTGAAGATTACTACTGGAGTGACTGAATGTTTGTGAATACTGAATGTTTGTGAATGTGATGCCAATCATGCAGGATGCTTTGTCCTGGATAATGTCTAGCTGCTTGAGTGTTGTTGGAGTTGTACTCATCCAGGCATGTAGGGAGCATTCCATCATATTCCTCGCACCTCGTAGACAATGGATAGGCTTTGGAGAGTTAAGAGATGAGTTATATGCTGCATGATTCCTAGACTCTAATCTACCTTGTAGCCATAGTATTTAATTGGCTAGTCTAGTTTAGTTTCTGGTCAATGGTAACACCAAGGATGTTGATAGTGGAGGAAGTAACAAGCAGGGTAGGTAAAGACGATGTAGCACATTTGGATTTTCATAAGGCATTTGGTAAGGTACCACACATTAGGCTGCGTAATAAGATAAGAATCAATTGTGTTGGGGTAGTATATCAGCAAGGATGGAGGACTGGCTAACATAGAAGACAGAGAGTTGGGATATCGTGTACATTTTCAGGATAGCAACCTCTAACTAATGAAGTACCACGGCGATGAGGCCACAATTATTTATCATATATATCAATGTCTTGAATGAAGAGAGTGAATGTACTATAGCCATGTTTGCAGGGAACAGAAAAAGAGGTGGGAAGGCAAGGGAAGATGATGACACAAAGTGTCTGCAGAGGGATATAAAAAGGTTGGGAATATTTCTCCAATTAAATGATATTGAGGTCCTCTATTTTTCCTACCAAAGTGCATGACCTCACTGCTCCCATGTTATGTTCCATCTGATAGATGCATTGGTAGGAGCAATTCCATGGAGAGTGGACCAAGGAACAGTTAACTGCCAATCTTATACATAAATTCAAATCAGGCAAGTCAACTCTGATTGTCACAAGATTGTCCTGGAAATGCACAGGGAATGTCTGGTCCTAAAGATTATTTCAAAAAAGCACAGTGAATGCATATTGTCTTCTTGGTTTACAAGGACATTGCCCTGTATGTGATAATATGTAGCTACTAGTACACCTACATAAACCACACTGTAAGTTTGACTGATAATCTTTATTTGGTTGTTAGTGTAATTCTTAGCAAAATTGGGATTATTTAGCAAGTGCTATGCAATAACAGAATCATATCCTATGGTGGACACTATGCTGTGCATTTTGCACGCATGGTCTGCTTGAGGATGGTCAGTACATGTTGTGAACACTGTACCTTATGGCAGACACTGGATTCAGGAGACTCAATTCAAAGATAATGGTGTCTTTTCAAGATAGGGATGAGAATATTTTTTGCCGAGAGTCATGAGACTGTAGAACTCTTTTTTTGCCAGAGAGGTGGGGGCTAATATATTGATTATTTTTATTGAACAAGGGAGTCAATAGATATTGGAGGTAGGCATGAAAGTGGAGGTGAGGTCACAGTCAGATCAGCCTTGGTTCTACTGAATGCTGTTGCAGTGTCAAGGGGTCAAATGACTGGTTCCTACTCCTAATTTATTGGTTTGTACATGTTAAATGGATAATACATGGGGGATTACATTTTTAGAATTCTGAATTCTTCTCTCCTTATTTTAATTTCAACATAATGTGATCTTTTGACCAGAGCAGATTTTAAAATTAAATGGAACAACTTTGAATGCTTTTCAACTAGCAGCTTTGAAGATTTGTTTGATTTGTCCCTTTGTCAAACTTTTCTGTAGGAGCTTTGTAAATACAAGGAAAATGAACAGGACACTGAGATGTTGATGGCAGCACTTTCAGCCATGCAGGATAAGACACAACACTTAGAAATCAATCTTAGTGCAGAGACAAGAATTAAACTGGACCTTTTCTCTGCTCTTGGGGATGCCAGACGACAGCTAGAGATTGCACAAGGTAAGCCATGGCATTTATAAATGTGCTATGGTAACACATTGTTACTGCTGTAGATCTGGTTTGATATTAGGCATGAATTTCTGCGCTATTTTCAATGCATTTCCAGTGCAAAATTGAAGGAAGCGCATTTTTCTCATAAGGAAATCAAACAAGTAACCCTGCGTGCAAAAAATCTTTTTCCTTAGCATAAAAGTTGCAACCAAATCTGTAGAGATACCCCAGCAACTCCTGAGAATTTAAGGTTCCCCTGGATAGCCAATCTTTTAAACTTGCAGTTTACACACTGTGAAACTAAAACAATTGCTTATATTCATCAATGAAATTATTTACTTATTGTGATATATTAACCCCGTTTGCCCAGCTATTTTAAATAAATACAAAAAATGTAAACAATTCGTTTCACCTTGCCATCTCCTCCTTAACTTTCCCTTTGTTCCAGAATTAGTCTAATCAACACTAAGGCTTGAATTTTCACCGGGGAAATCCCTAGCACAGCAAACCAGATTTCAGAGATGTCCCTGGATAGTTGGATTTTCATTCCAGGATGTTAGAAAACTACAGTCAGGCCCATCACGCAAAAAAATGAGTTAGGAGGCAGCTACAAAGATAGCTGTGTGTGGAGATGGACTATTGAAAAGATCTTCCTTGTTTTGTTGAACATGGCAACCACTCTTAACCAATAAAACAAAAGGCAGATCTCTAACCTTCATCCCTCACACTCCATGCCCAATCCAAACCTGCCATGCCAACCTTTTTTTAATTTGATTTGTTTTCATTTGATTCATTGTTGTCACATGTACTGAGATACAGAGAAAAGGATTGAATTGCGTGCTAACCAGACAAATCATATGTCACGTAAGTACATCAGGGTAATAGAACAGAATGCAGAATAAGTGTTACAACTATAGAAAAGGTGCAGAGAAAGCTCAACTCTAATATATGAGAGGTCCATTCATAAGTCTGATAACATTGGGGAAAAAGCTGTTCTTAAATATGTTGGTATGTGTTTTCAAACTTCTGTATCTTCTGCCCAATGGAAAAGGGTGGAAAAGAGTCTAATATCCAGAAGTCATGTTTTGTACATCCCATGAGCAAAAATTAGATTTAAATGAAGGCAGCTGCACATATGCAGTTGCCGCCATGAATTATGGACGCACAAGACACAGTTTCCCAAACCCCACCTCACCCTGCCCCATTCCCCAGACAAAAATGGCAAGTACCAGGTTTTGGGGAGCGATTTCCAGAACCTGGACTTCAGCACCATTTTGAGTGTGCTGCAGATCTTCTGACAAAAATCAGTGCATGAGAGGCTGTATAACATTTTTATGATCACATCAGAAATGAATGAACCAATTCCCCTCTTATTAACCTCCTTGGTTGGTCGCAACAAATGTTTCAATTCTTTTTATTAGAAGATAAAACCTTTTCCTAACTGTAAGCAAAAATGAGTTAATCACAAGGTTCTTTTAGGGAAAGAACAGTTTTATTTTTTGCTCCCTCTGAGAAAAGTAATAAAGATACACCGTCAAGTTTATGCCCTTCATGCAGTCAATTGGGCTCATGCATACACAAATGTGCTAAGTTAAACGGGAATAGTGTCCTAAATAAAGGAAGATAAAATAATATACAGCTAATAATCTTTTGAGTGTCCTTGAGATGTAAGGTTTTAATCTGGGACCGTGATTGCTTTGTTTTTGTTTTGGACCAGCAGTTATGAATATTGCAGTTATCTTTCTAAGTTCTTGGTTTTCTGATGCTTCTTTGCAGTGAATGCTGTCAAACTGGGAATTTTTTCTAGAGAGGGAGAGACTTCTCGGCTTGTATTCAATTGTGCATTCTTAATTTCATCCATTCCTGGTTTCCTGAGAGATCCTTGAACTTCAACCTGGTTTTATATTTTGTACTCGCTGAGATAGTGTTTTCTTGGTTTAGTAATTGCAGGCAGCATATCATCTCCTCCATGTGAAGATTCTCTCATTGGTGTAAATCAATTCAAACAGGAGATGAGGACCTTTTCACAACTCCCTTGTGGTCTGACTGACTTAATTTCATTGTCCTTAGAGAAAATGATTTCATTTCAGACTGACTCTAAATTAATCCACATCAAAGTTGGCTAACATGTATCCCTGTGACCATTTCCAGTCATTATCTTGGTCTTTTTATTTTAAGTCCACAGTTTCAGTCCACAGAAATCGCCAGTGGGATTCAATAATCAATACTTGATATGTTATATCATCATGAAACCTATCACAGATATAACATAACATTTCTTATCTTTCTTTCAGGGCACATTATCCAACAAGATCAGGAAATTGAAGAACTCAAACAGAAGGTTGCTGAAGTTATGGCAGTTATGCCTGGCATTAATTACAGTGTCACACATACACTTAGTCCTGCAACCTCACACTATTCCTCTAAATTTGTGGAGACTGGAACTTCTGTTCTTGATCCTAATACTTTAATGTACCAGCCACTGAAGAAATAAATGCACTATCCTTCTTATCCACCCCTCAGATACTACACATTTCCTAATTACCCATGGCTAATGCTGGTGGAGGTGATGTTTTTGTACTCAAAAGTATGGATTTTTACTTTTTATACTATTTTGGGGTTTTCAGGTATGATCAACTAGCATTGGGGTGCTTTGAAAATAGTTAGATTATTTAGAATACCTATATAATTGGAAGCATTTAGCCATTATTGCACGCCTCAATCTACCCAATAAATTCAACCTAGTGTCCTCAGTAACACACCTTACTGTTTAACTGGTACCATTGTAAATGCATGACTAATTCCAGCATGGTACGAATTTCTTTTAGTGCTTGAAATAATGGTCTAAATTAACACTGGAATAGAAATTCAGTTGGCATCAACAAGCAATTCATAAAAGGCACAGAGGTGACAGTTTCACAATAATGATGTGAGAATGTTAAAGCTAAACTATACTGAGAACACCTTTCTAACAGAGCAGGTCTGTTATATGCACTGTTGTAGATCTTTCTCTAAGATTTACCAAAATCATTGCCTTCCGTCTTTGAACCACAAACAAGACAATAACGGGTAATACATTCTTCTAAAGAAAGCCGAGTTGTAACTTGCAAACAAAACCTTTTAGACGTTCATAATAGATATTGTCAAGGAGAAACAAATTAACTCATTTATAATTCCATCATACGAATAATTTATCCTGTGCTAAATTTTATCACTGTTACCAAACACCATTTGTAATTCTTATTTAACATCTATGTAATTTTTGTTCAACAAATGCTTACTCTACCCTGTTTCATTTTTCCTTGATTCAACATTCTTGAGTAATTGATCCTTCAAATATAGTTCTCACCAGTTATCATTAGAACTGCATTCTATCACTGCACGGATATACTTCGATGTTCAACTTACTTTACACAATTATACTTCTAACATGATCCAGTTGTCTCTAGACTCATCCCAAACCATGCATTTTATGTCATTTTCGTCATTGCTAGCCTATATTTTAAATTCTTTGTGGGGACCAAAGTCTGGTGCCAGTAAGTGAGCAAGAAACTATAATAAACAGTTAAATATGTTAAGAGTTAATAATGATACCACTTGATGCAAGAATGTGATGTCAGTTCCACATTTTTATTTGCATCTGCCTTGTGACCTGAAAGATTACGCTTATAATTGTAAACAAAATCAGAATACTACTGGAAATCTGAAATAAAAAGTGAAAATGTTGGAAAGCAGGTTAGAAAGCATCTTTGTGGAGAGAAACAGAATTAACATTGAAGATTATGATCACCCTTCATCAAACAGTTTTTTAAAAAATGTAACTTAAAGCCCATTTACAATCCAGGGAGATAGACTGTCATCTCAAGAAAACAATGTTCTGAGCAATAAGGCATCAGTTGTTAAAATTTGTACATTGCTGTATTTTCCCTGATAAGTGCATAGCATATACTTAGCAGAAAAGAGAAAGCAATATACTCTGCACTGTCAGACTTAATGAGAAACATATTCTTGTGGTTTATCCTGCCAGCGTAAATATTGTAAATGAAAGTATCCACACTGTTACTGATGACTTTCAACTGGTCCGTGTCTGGAACATTTTACATCTAATGGTCATCACTTAAAGATAGTACTGGAACAAGCAGTTTGCTTTTAGCATCCCAATACAAGATGTGATGTGATGTTCTACTCTACTCCAGTGTTGTCATCATAGGCCCAACTGAGCTTTGGATAGTGCTTTCTATTTATGATGGAATGGAATAACATGATTTCATTTAATGTTAAGGGTGACAAAAAATGACCAACAGTTTATAGGGATAAAGAGAATTGGAGCAGAGAAGAGCAGAGTAGCACAAAGTGAGCAGCGGCTTTAAGTTATAAGCAAAACTAGATCTTGATATGTCCCTTCAGTAGTGTCTGGGTAAAAGAACAGATGTATGCTTTGTTTTGAATCTATTCAGTTTGCATTATTGAGTTGTCCTGGTTTTATTTTCCATTTGACCTATTACAGTTATTTCAGTGTTAAATTTAACATTCTTCATAGTAGTTAAGATGTATAATATGACCTAAGGAAGTAGGGAAGTTCAATGCTGAGTTCCTTTTAGCTTACTGAATAAGGGTGACTTTGGATTGCAAGATTAATTAACTTTCTGACACTTGTGACAAAGTAAGAGAAAACAGACTCATTACAGTACATAAGTAATATAAAGGTCCTATATAATGAAGCACATTTCTAATTTCCTAAATTCTTTCATTTCTGCTGCGATGTTTGAAACTAACTTTGGTGTACGGGATTTGAATTCTATCTTGGTCTATTTTCTAGAATGGATTAGTTTCCGACCTATTCTAAAAATAGATAAGAAGACATTTTTAGAAGTTTCACTAATCATTTCAGTCTGGTTGTTGAAGGTATTTCTGTCGTTAGTTTGAAGCCCAAAAGCTAGAAACAATGGACTGGATTTTATGGGGAGACGCATTCTCTGCCTCCAAATGGAAAAGTCAGTCTTAAATGCACTGACTCAGAGGCTAGTTGCCCTGATTGGTTCAGGGTGTGACTTCTGCCGCAGTCATATCCTAGAGAGCTGCCAGCTAATCTGTGAAATAATTCTTCAGAGACCAGCATCCCATCACCAATCACTCTTTATTGACAAATGCACGGCCTTTGACAATAGCACAGCCTCTCAGTGAGTCAGGCATTCAGAAGAATGAATATCCCTGACATTCATCCTTTCATATCAGGCAGATTAACAGCCCCAATCAAGGAACTCATATTCTATGATGTCCAGCTGGCTGAGCTCTTTACAATCACTAGAATCTGTTTGGCCAGTGGCTCTATGATTCAGCAGCACCAGAATTGAGTAGTCATCACTGCTGACACTGCAGCAGTCCCCAATGGGAAAGAGTCATAGGGCCTGGGCTTCAGGTAAGTCTGGGATTTTGGATGGGCCTATAGATAGCAGACCCCAGTGAAAGGGTGGAGGGTGGCATGCTGAGTTTGGAGAGCCAGGTATCAGAGTTGGGAGGTGAGAGGGATGATCTTTGGAATGGCGGGGAAAGTGGGAAGTTTCCTCCAATGGGAACAAAGGACTCCCCAAGGACATGGCTATCTTTCCTGCCTGACAACAATAAAAACTGCCTCACACATCCCTTACTGCCACAGTAAATTAAAGGCAGATGTGGAAATGGCCACCTCAACAGGCCCTAAGGTGGGTAAACTGTTTGATTCCTTTGTTGCCTATTGTTTGCAAGTGATAGGTCAAAAATAGGTGGGAAGGTGATGAAAATTCCCACCTTGTGAGATCCCCATTTCAAATATGTTGGTGGGGCCATGAAATCCAAAATAATGGGTCAAATCCTTTCACTATTTATTGCAGTTTTACTGTACATACTTAGAAACCTTGACAATTTCAATGTTTTTAAGAAGGTTTCTTCAAAAAGTGCAGAGTGAGTCAGTTTCTGAAAATAAAGTTGGTAATCCATGCCTTTTAGTCTATCCAACCAATTTCATGTAGTGCAACATCAAAATTTTCAAAATATTAATGGATGAAACTGCTTTCTAACCACTGGACCGAATTAGAACCTTCACCATTACACACTGATTCTAATTCTGCTCAACATTATTCTTCATTTTAAAAGCAAGCCATGGGCAGAAATTTTCAAAATGGTTTCAAATAATGATTTGTTTAATGATATATAAGATGCGATAGATTTTCAAGAATATGTAACCTTGGCTTGTTCAAGGCTTTCACACTCTTGTATTAGTTTCTCTTTATTTTTACACAGCTTTTGTTTAGTTTGATCCATGCGTAATATAACCCTGTCAGAAATTATTTGTGTGCACCACTTTATTGATGTTTCACTTTGCACTTGAATCTTAGAATCCCTACAGTGTGGAAGCAGGCCAGTCAGCCCATCAAGTCCACACTGACTGTCTGAAGAGCATCCCATCTAGACCTACCCCCTACCCTGTCCCTGTAACCCCACATTTCCCATGGCTAATCCACCTAGCCTGCACATCTCTGGACACTTTGGACAATTTAGCATGGTCAACCCACCTATCCTGCACATCTTTGGACTGTGGGAGGAAACCAGAGCACCTGAAGGAAATCCACACAGACACAGGGAGAATGTACAAACTCCACACAGGCAGTTGCCCAAAGCTGGAATTGAACCTGGCGCTGTGAGGCATTGTTAATTACTAAGCCACTGTGCCACCCCAGCTTAGGAACTTCAAATACCTGGAGCATTCACTACTTAAAGTTAGCTATTCCACCATTTACTTTTTTTCGTTCCTTTTAGTATAGGCTTTTGAATTTAGTACTGGCTATTGCTAATAGTTTTAACTCTCATTTTCTTATTATAGTCTAACACAACTGAATTTTGGCAAAAGTAATTCCTCATTTTTTTATTCATTCATGGGATGTGGGAATTGCTGGCTGACCAGCGTTTATTGCTTATTCTTAATTATCCTTGCAAAAGTGGTTTTCAGATACCTTCTTGAATCACTGTACTCCATTTGCTAAAGGTAGACCCAAAATGTTAAGGAAGTAGTCCCAACTTGTCCCAAGATATTGAAGGAATGGATACACATTTCCAAGTAGAGATGGTAGTGGCTTGGGAGAGGAATTTTTAGTTGGTGGCATTCCCATGTATTTGCTGCCCTTGTCCTTGTAGATGGTAGTAGTCACAGGTTTGGAAAGTGCTGTATAAGAAGTCTAAGCAAATGTCTACAGTGCATCTTGTAGATGGTACACAGTGCTGCTACTGTAGGCGGTGGAGGGAATGAATGTTTGTGGACATGGTGCCAATCAAGCAGACTGCTTTGTCCTGGATGATGTCAAGCTTTTTGTGTTGTTAGAGCTGCACTCATCCGTGCAAGTGGGTAGTATTCCATTCACATTCCTGATGTGTGCCTTTTAGATAACGGACAGGTTCTAGGAAGTCAGGATGTGAGATACTTGATTCAGGATTCCTACCCTCTGATCTGCTTTTGTAGCC